GCTTTGAAGCCTGTTTGTTCCTGGCCCTCCAGAACCAAGGCCCTGATAAGCCAGCTGCAAGAGCGCCCAAGGGCCCTTGGCCCTGGCACATGAGTCCTCTTGGCCCAGCAAGAGCAAAGCTGGGTGAGCTGAGCAAACTTGCCCTTGGGCAATCTATGCCTCTCACGATGGGTGTCTTCCTGGCGCGCCTGCCTTTCTTGCTGGCACCTGCCCTTGTAGTCCTGTGGCTTCCACTGTTCTCCTGCCAGACTGAGCCTCTCAGGAAGCCAAGAGTCTGCCGCAATGGGGAGTCCATCACTTTCCCCAACAGAATTTCCCCCAAGCAGGGATGAGCTCCATGAGGAGATAGTGCCTGTGAGGAGTGAGGAGATAGTGCCTGTGGGCCCAGAGGGGAAACCGCTGAAGGCATAGGTGTGCGGGCTCACGAATGGCTCATAAATTCTCTCAGAGCGTCAGATTTTCACGAGAAATACTCCACCTGCCTCCCGGTCACCCACACTTCTGTATCTAACTTCAGACTTGCCCCCTAGCCATTCTTTTCCGAATTCTGAGTACTCTGTCTCCTCTGGTGACAAATGCTTATGTACTAACGTGAGGATTTTCATTCTTTGTTATGGGTTAGTTTGTAAGCTGAAGACTCTCCCCCCTGCACCCTGCTTTTATTTTAATTGCATTTATTTTATGCTAAATTTATTCCTGGGTCATATATTTTTGTTTTTTCAATTTCTTCCAGGATGTCTTTTTTTTTTTTTTTAAATTCTATGCAACCTCTTCTTCCAGTTCACGGACAGCGGCTCTTTTTCAGTAAGATCATCTCACTGCGGCAGGGGGAGCTCGCCCAGGGGCTCTTCAGCCCAGGAGCTCTGTGAGGGCTGCACCCTCTCTTGGAGGCTTTGTTCACCTGGATGTGCTCAATGACCAGAGAATCTACTTCTAAACCCTGCAGTTCAACATTACTCTCGTCATTTTTAAGCTTGTGCAATAAAAATTCAGGGCTCTTTTTGGGACACCGACCCTGTGTCCAGCCCCACTGTTTGGATTGGGCACACCTACCTACTCCAACATCGTAACCACGGAATGGCACACACTGCTTCTGTCAAGTGACATCCTTCAGACACTTGATGGCTTTTGGGATATTCATACCCTTCTTGGTGGTGGGAGTAGTTTCATGAGCATTTTAAAAGTGAACATGAATCCCTGGCCGGGTGGCTCAGTTGGTGGAAGTGTCATCCCATACACCAAAAAGGCTGCGGGTTTGATTCCCAGTCAGAGCACATACCTATGCTTCAGGTTTGATCCCAGTCGGGGCATGTATAATGGATCGATCTTTCTCTCTCTCTCTCTCTTCCTCTGACCCCCTCTCCCCTTCTCCCTTCCTCTCTAGCTAGAATCAATAAAAACGTATCTTCGGGTGAGGATTAAAAAAGAAGTGACCATGAAGACTTGAACCTTTTGATTTGCATGATTTAGTGGGGTCTTCTGTGTCAAGTGGATGGCGAGCCATTTTCATAGATGCAGCTGAAGGCTTTTGATAGCAGATTCCAGGCCTGACACTGCCTTCTTGCGCCCAGACAGGCGTGTACGGGGCTGGGTGCGGTGACTGATGGACTCCCGATCTCCTCATCCTTGCATCAGCCCACTTGCTTGGTGCTGCCATCACCCTGCCTCCCTGCACTCTTTTTATATCTTCTGATTCTAAATCTGCCCTGAGAACATTTCTCACTCAAATGGGATTCACTTTGTGGACCTTCCTCTTCTATCTTTCTTTATCTCTTGTTTCCTATTCTTTCCCCAAAGCCATCTCTGTTGCTTCATTGTGTTAAACCACGTCTACTAATGGTGGCTGTTAGGGTCGCCAAAGGAGGAAGGCACAAGGCCGAAAGGGGTAAAGAATTATGAATTTATTAGGTCACCGGGATACCAGATGGGCTGAGCCCCAAAATGGCGCCAGCCCCCAAAGACTGGGAGTCAGAGGTTTTTAAAGGACTCTAGGCGGGCTTTTTCTGGGCTGAGAATTCTCTGTGCAGGTCTGGGTCCTGGGAAACTCCGGAGGGGAGCGACAATGGTTTAAGCACGTGGAATGTTCATTGTGAAGTGGCCCAAAGGTCAGTGCCCAGGGGAGGGGGCATTGATTCAATTCTTTGATCAGACCTGACATTGGCATCCTTTCTCTCAGGTTGCCCTCTGCTGGCTGGGCCAGGGGCACCCTAAGGAACCTTCACCTCTAAACTTTCATGAGTGTGTAAGTCTGAGCCCACACCTTGCTCCTCTCTGGGTCTCACTCCCTTATTTTCCTTGTAATGTAACTCCAACAGTTCACCCCAATTTCTGACCTTTGCCTGGGGGCTTCCTCACACTTGGCCCTGCTCTTTGATCATGAGCAGACTCCCAACTCTCCAGCCTGGCAGGTTCCTTGTCCCCACAAGGGCCTCCACTCCCCCTTGGGGGCCTTTAGCCTCCAGGTTGCACAACAGCCTGGCATCTGAACTGAGAGCCCCTGAGAAGCTGGGGTAGGAGGAAGAGAGAAGGAAGGAAATGTTTGCTCCCACCACCCTCCTCACCCCCCAACTACTCCTTTAAATATTTGCCTAAGTCTCTAGCAGCAAGTGTCCTAGGAGGCAAGAAAGAGGGGTTTGAGGGGAGGAGGGAGGATCCTCTCGACTGTGTGAGGCCTCAGCTGTGTGCAGGTGCCAGATGCGGGAGACAGCTGCCTGCAGTACCCACCCCTGCCCACCCCCAGGGCCCCTACTCCCATCCCCAGTTGTCCTGGCAACACTGGGATTGATGGGCCGACTCATACATGCTGGGCTGATGCCAGGTGGGCAGCGGGCCAGCGGGAGAGCCAAGGATAACTGCAAGCATCTTGGGGTCCCTGTGCGCATCTCTGGGGGCTGCCGAGCCCAGTTTGGGGGCTTGTTCTGAGCAGGTGCTGTGTGTAGGGCTTGCTGTTATCACTGGATCAGGGAACCAGGGCTCTTTCTTGGAGAGAAGCCTCTGCTCTTGGGGCCTCAGTCTCCCCTGCAGGCTGCCTTCAGGCTGTACTTCTCATAAGCTTTACAGATTTTTCCTCCTTTTTTCTCTCTTCTGGTTATTTATTTTTGCCTGTTTGGAGGTTGGTAAGGAAAGATGCCCTCCAGTTTCATGAGGCAAGTTCGGATGCTGGCACCAACTTGATGGAGGTCTTGGAGAAGGAAGAGGGAGGGGCCTTTAGCTGGGCATAGCTGTTCCCTCGCCCCCCACCCCAGCCCTCTGCTGTGGCCTTCTCCTCTATTGGCCTTTCTTAGGCTGTTTCTCCCTCCTGGAAGGCTCATCCTCAATGCCTCTCCAACTCTCAATACCACCCACCCTAAAAGGCCAAGCAAGAAGCAATGGCACCCACTCTGTGACCTCACCGCCCCAGCCCACGGTGCCTCGTTACTCCTCCGAAACCTCCCAGCCTCCCTGCTGCACATTCACTTGCCACTTAGCACGCACTGTTGTTTTCACCAGCTGCGCACTGATGTTCTCATCAGCTAAGTGGGTGCCTTTATCTTCCCAGCCTGGCTGCCAGCCATGTGACCAGCCCTGAGATCCAGTGTTCCTGAAGCTTCCTTGTACCTGCTGCAGGTTAAGCAAGGGGCATGCATGCAGCCAACAGTCAATGATAAGACTGTCGTCACCAAACATGAGGGGGTGCCTGGCAAGAGGTCAATAGTTCATTCCTTCGGTATATGAAGCTCTCAGTGCCTCACTGACCAGCTCTCAGACCCTGAATGAGACGTTCTGCCTTTCTAGACTTCAGAGTGTTCGTCTGTGAGATGGGACTAGTGAGCCTGTCCTGTCCCCCTCTCCAAGCTGGTGTGAGAATACAATGACATCATGATGGGAAAATCCAATCGTCACGATTATCTTCACCTCCCAGGGAACCTCTTCTCACCAGAGTAGGACCCAGCCTCTCCCTTTCTGTGTGTCTCTGGGTTAAAGCCTCTGAGGACGGTGAGAGTGGAGAGCCCCATGGTAGCCACTCTTTCTGTGTGTGTCTCCCTTTTCCCTCCTTCCAGCCGCTCAGCTGCAGGGGCAGAACAGGATTCACTTTGCTCTTTGTGTCCTGGGCAGAGCCGTGCCAGGGACAAGCAGGGGTGGTTGCCCAGCTGCCCCAGCCATCCTCCCCACCCCCATTGCTTGTCTTCCCACGAGCTGGCATGGGGAGGGCAGCATGGGCAGCTGGACAAGCAGTGGCAAGTGGGCATCAAAAGGCAGGGGCATCCCTGGCATGGACTTAAGCTCAGACCAGACAATGCCCTACTGGCAGAGGCCAGGGAAGCATCTTAAATCCAGTGATTTGATGTGGAAAGAGCAGACCGGGAGCCCAGCCACCTGACTTCCAGGCTCCCCTTGTCCTATACCTGGGAGTTCTTGGGACAGTCACCCCCATCATCACCACATACACACACCCGAGAGGTAACACGGTACAGAGCAGCAGTTCTCAAATTTTTTGGTTTCAGGATCCTTTAACACTCTTCAAAAGGATTGAGGACCCCAAAGAGCATTTGGTGTATGTGGGTTATATGTATGGATATTTACCATATTGATATTTACTGAGACATTTAAAATATTTATTAATGAATTAAATTAAAATAGCAATAATAAATCCATTATATGTTATAACATAAATAACATCAATTTTAAATGAAATTTACTATTTTATACAGCAATATATATGTATATTATATATATTATATATATATCTATATATCTATATATCTATATATCTATATAAATATATATATATATATAGAGAGAGAGAGAGAGAGAGAGAGAGAGAGAGAGGCATGTCACTGTTTTACATTTTTACAAATTTCTTTCATTTCTGGCTTAGTAGAAGATACATCAGTATCTTTGGAAAACTCCAGGGCACTTGGGGAGGGCATGAGAGTGAAAAGGGCAAATGATGTCTTAACATTAATAGGAAGATTGTTTTGTCCTCAAACAGCCCCTGACAGGTTCTCAAGGGCCCCTGGGCCTCCTGGACCACACCTGGAATGGAAGCGTGGCTGTGAACTCCGGCGCTGGGCAGAGCGGTTAAGCCCTGCCCGGTCCCTTTCTTTTTCTGGTACTATGCGCCCTTCCTTTATCTGTAAAAGGGGATTCATAGCATCTATCTCGAAAGGTGGAGGGGATTCAGTAAGTAGCGAACACAACACACAGTAGGTGTGATAGCAAGCTTGGCTGCTTTCCTCCTGGTTTGGGCCTCAGTTTCCTCATTTGTTAAACAAAGCTCTGGACTGGAAAACTTCCAAGGGTCTCCCAGCTCCAACAGGCTGTGGCTGTGTAGTGAGAAATGTTTCAGAATTCCACACATTCCCACGCCAGCCCCAGTGACGACATTCCCCTTCAGCTCACACAGACACAAAGGCACATTCTGTGCAGGAGCCGTGGAAACTCCCGTGAACACAACCCACGCCTGCCACCTATGACACGCCCGTGAACCTGCTGAGAGGATGTGCCACGGAGGGTCCAGGCGTGCACCGGCGACACAGAGGCACAGGGTTCCCTATGCGGAAATGCTCACAGGGGATCTGTGCACGTGCCTGCGGAGACAGGTGTGCGCACACGCACAGTCATGCCGCCCTAGGATGTACACGGACACCCTGCACGCATGCCCTGGCGCACTGACGCTCTGGGTACCGGACACAAGCAGATGGCCCAGAGAGAGCCAGTAGGCGATGCAGCACAAAGCAGCCAGGGCCGCAACCACTCCCTTCTCTGGCTACTCCCAGCCGGGACTCCCCCTCCGCCCTGCGCGCCCCCGCCGCCGCCGCCGCCGCCGCAGTCCGCGGCCACCCCAGCGCCTTCAGATCCGCTCTGCGCGCGTATCAATCCGAGTTGACTCTCGGGAGCGAGCAGGGCTGGGGGAGTCCGCTCACCGCAGCGGCAGCCCGGCCCCTCGCTGCAGCAGGGGCTGCGGGTGGCCAGGTGGTGCCAGCCCGCAGGGTGGCAGAGAGCGGCGGGGCAGAGCGCCGGGTCAGAGCAGCCGGTGGCCGGAGGCAGAGCTTGCAGGCAGCATGGCGGGGCTGCGCATCAGGCGGGGCTCCGGGCTCAGGCTGCTGGCTCTGTCCGCGCTTGGATTCTGCCTGATCCTGCAAGTCAGTGCCAAGAGGCCCCCCAAAACGCCCCCCTGTCCACCCAGCTGCTCTTGCACCAGGGACACGGCCTTCTGCGTGGACTCTAAGGCAGTGCCCAGGAACCTGCCGGCCGAGGTCATCTCTCTGTGAGTGCCCAGCTCTGGCCCAGGGGGTGGTGAGTCAAGAAGGGGAGGACGGCAAGGACCACTCTGGGAGTGGATGGGGAGACCCCCATTCCCCCTCTGAGGATTGTGGGGACCAGGAGGACTCCAGGGGAACCTCAGGACCAGAGACTCAAGGTAGCCAGGCAGGGACTTCTGCAGTCACGCAGGCTCAGCAGCCATGGCTGGGGAAAACAGGACTTGGTGGCCAAGAATGAATCATCACCACCAGCAGTATCAATGAGACCTACTGTGCGCAGGCCTCTGGACTTGGAGGGAGGGGGGTTGCTTACCCCAGCATGTGGGCCCTTGCCTGTGATGTCACATCAAGGGCAGAAAGGCTTCTAGTGGGGGAGGGAGGGGAGCAGCCGGGGAGGGGTGGGAGTGAGATACACCCACACTGCACCCTGGCACGGGGCAGGTGCCTGTCACTGCTCTCGCCAGCCACTCTTCACCCAGCCAGTCAGACTGTCACTTGCAGCAGTGGCCTCCTGGACCAGATCAGCTGCGTGGTCCTTGGGAGCAGGATGCTAATCCCTATTCCCATTCGAGGGCCCCTTGGCTCAAGAGCACCCAGCACACTGTGGGTGTTTGGATGATCATGGAAGTGTGGCTAATGGAAGCTTCTTTTGGCTGAGGGGAGCTAAGCCTGGGCCGTTGGTGCTCAGGGGGCAGTCAGGGAGATAATGAAGAAGGCAGGCGGTGAGAAGGGGAAGACGGCCTCAGGTGGAGGACTGACGCAGGTGTCCCCTGCAGGACGCTGGTGAACGCTGCCTTCTCGGAGATCCAGGACGGAGCATTTTCCCACCTGCCGCTGCTGCAGTTCCTGTATGGACAGGGCCTTGTGGGAGGTGGGGGTGGCTTGGGGAGGGGCAGTGGAAGGGAACAGACAGATTCTGGAAATTAAGATGCAGGCATCCCTACATTTGCCCTGATGGATATGCCACAGAGGTGGAGCTGCCTGGGGTCAGGAAGGGGGGAGGAGCAGTGGTTGGGGAGGAGGGAAGGGATTGCATGCAAAAGCCAAGATGTGGGTATTTAGGGCCCAGTTAGGAATGGACTTGCCTCCTCTAGAGACCCAAAGGAACTGGGCGCAATAAATTGGGGGGGTGCCAGAGGGTGGACACTGCAGGGGAGAAGGGTCATCTTAGAGACAGGTGCCCCTAGGGTTTGAAGAAAGAGCTGGGAACCGAACTGAGGGAAGACTATAGAGCCTGGAATTCTAAAAGGGTTGTTTACATTTGAAGTCCTGGTCACATGAGAGAGTACACTAGAGTTGCCCCACCTCCTTTTCACCATCGGCCCTAGAGGGACTGGACAGAGCCTGGGTGGGAGTGGGACACAGAGCAGAGATGCTGTGGGGTAGACCCAGCTTGCCAGGAAAGATCTGCCCTGGCCGTTTTCACCCTGAGAGCCTTCAGGGACCCTGGGAGTTTCTGGGACCAGAACAGCTCCTGCCTGGTCTTGCTGCCTCGGCTGCTCTGGGGTTCTCCGCTGGGGTCCCAGGGTGGGAGGCAGGGCAGCCAGGCCTTGAAGAAGCCCAGGGGTGAGGCAGCAGGCACACCCTTGGAAGCTCTAACTCTGCCTTTGTCTCTCCAGGTTACTCAATTCCAACAAGTTTACGCTGATCGGAGACAACGCCTTCACAGGACTGTCGCACCTGCAGTACCTGTGTGTGGGAAGGGAGGGGAAATGGAGAGTCGAAGGGAGGACGGGAAGGGCTTGGGTGGGCTCAGAGACGAGGTTGAATGAGGAAGGCTGGGGGCATTGAGAGCCCTTGAATCCTCTGACTGCAGGACCGAGCAGAGCAGAGGTCACTTCATCCATCCCCCTGCCTGAATGGTCCTGCCTGGATGCCTTGTCACCACAGGCTTCAGGCCACCACATTAGAAGCCTGTCTGAGGGCCATGGGCGGGGATCTAGGCACGGTGTAGGGAAATAGGTGGTGGTAGTGGGTGGGAACCGGGGATCCTGAGTGATGGCTGATACTGTTCTCATTTCCTCCAGCTTCATTGAGAACAACGACATCTGGGCACTATCTAAGTTTACTTTCCGAGGACTCAAGTCTTTAACACACCTGTGAGTACATTCCACACATACATACATTCATTCATCGGACCACAGTCCCCCCCCCCCCCCCCACACACACCCATCGCTCTCTCTCTCTTGTGGCCTTTGGCCTCAGTCACCATCTTCAGGTGACCCATGGGTCTCTCTTGCAGCTCACTGGCCAACAATAACCTGCAGACACTGCCTAGAGACATCTTCCGGCCCCTGGACATCCTGAGTGACTTGTAAGGCCTGAGTCCTAGCTTTTTCAACAGTGCCACAGAGGGGCACGTCCCGGGAGGGAGTGGTGTGGGAGCCAGCATTGGGAAGATCATAAAGGCTTGAGAAGCTGGAGGGCTTGGTTTTGGGGGGTGGGCTGAGCAGCTGAGAGCCTGTCCTCTCTTTGTCCCCTCCATCACCCTCATGATCAGGGACCTGCGGGGCAACTCGCTCAACTGCGATTGCAAGGTGAAGTGGCTGGTGGAGTGGCTGGCACACACCAACACCACGGTGGCCCCCATCTATTGCGCCAGCCCGCCCCGCTTCCAAGAGCACAAAGTGCAGGATTTGCCACTGCGGGAGTTCGACTGCATCACCACAGGTAGGAGGTGCCCCTGCCTCTGGCCTCAAGCTGCGCCTCCCCAAGGGAGCTCCACAGGCATCACCTGAACCCCCACCCCCCTGCCTTGCTCAGTATGCAATCCTTATCACCCAGCAAACTCTCACTCTTCCCCACCCCAATCCCTGCAGATTTCGTGCTGTACCAGACCCTGTCCTTCCCAGCGGTGTCAGCTGAGCCCTTCTTTTACTCCAGCGACCTCTACGTGGCTCTGGCCCAGCCAGGTGCCAGCGCTTGCACTGTCCTCAAGTGGGACTATGTTGAACGGCAGCTTCGAGATTATGATAGAATCCCAGGTACCTGTGCCCAGCCTGGCTGTGCTGGCCCCAGCTAGGGAGAGTGGAGGTGAGGGTGGGAGGCTCCACTGTTCTTCTCCATTGAGCTCCTATAGGGAGAGGGGTACATGAGACATGGCCTCGGCTCATAAGAATGTTCTAGTCTTTGGAGGGAGGCTGATACATACACACATAATATCCATATAATATGTCAGTGTAAGAGGAAGATATGAACACGTTGCATTGGGTACACAAAGGAGAGGCTTACCCTGGGCAATCAAGGAAAGATTCCTGGTAGAGGGGATGCCTACACTGAGTTTTGAAGGATAAGGGAGAGGGAGGAGTCAGAGGTGATGCCCAGGTTTCTGGCTTAAGTAAGTGGGTAGTGCCAATGAACTAAAAAGGAGGAGATACTGAGCTTAAGCTGAGTCTAGAATGTGGAGGGAGACTTAACTAGGAGAAAAAATGTGGGAAGGATGTTCTGGTAGAGGGAACAGCATGAACAAAGTCAAGGTGTGCAACAGCTTATTGTGTGAGTGCAGGCTGGTAGAAGCAGCTTATATGACTGCAGCATAACGTTCAAGGTGGACAGTGGCAGTCCTGAGAGAGATGAGGACAAGGTCATTGACAAGCTTTGAGAAAGTGTGTGAGCCAATCCAGTCTATATTTTATTTTATTTTTTTTAAAATATATTTTATTGATTTTTACAGAGAGGAAAGGAGAGAGATAGTTAGAAACATCGATGAGAGAGAAACATCGATCAGCTGCCTCTGCACATCTCCCACTGGGGATGTGCCCGCAACCCAGGTACCTGCCCTTGACCGGAATCGAACCCGGGACCCTTCAGTCCGCAGGCCGACGCTCTATCCACTGAGCCAAACCGGTTTTGGCTCAGTCTATATTTTAGACAACTCTCTGTGAGCCTTGTGGAGAGTGGCTAGGCATGGGACAAAACATATGGGCAGACCAGTAGAGGGATCAGCTGGAGCCTGGACTGAGGCAGCAGCAGTATCTCAGTTATATTTAGAAAAGAGGACTGAACTGACACAAGAGGAAACAGAAAATTTAAATTGCCCTATATCTATGACACAACTTGCAGTCATTATAAAAAAAACAACAACAACACCTCCACCCAACACAAGATCAAAATGGTTTCCCTGGTGAATCCTAGCAAACACTTAAGGAATAAATAACACTAATCTTACACAAATTGTACTAGAAAGCAGAAAGGTGTGTTGACAGAACTTGGGAATTGATCAGGAACAATGGGTGAATGAGGAACAAGGAAGTGTTGGGGATGGCTCCCAGGTTTCTGGTTGGGGTGACTAGGTGAAGCCACAAATTGACATTAAATACACAGAAGGAGGGGGAGGAGCAGGTTTAAGGGTAGATCTGGAACTCAGTTTTGGCCAGCTGGAGTTTGAGGTGCTTGAGGTGTTTGGAGAGTCTGAGTTGCGGTGGCTCAGGAGTGGGTGGTCAGGAGCTGGGCAATTACCAGGAGCTGGGTGAGCAGGCGAAGGCTGCAAGAGGGACTCAGTAACTGCCAGAGCCTGAGGCTGAGCATGGGCTTCCCTTGGGGAGAGGTGGAGTGATGGGGGGAAGGAGAGTTCATGAAAGCGATGACTTGAGACACCAGGACAGGTGGGGAGTGTAGCCCATAAGCTTTGGGTGCCTGGGAAGGGGTCGAATCAGTCTGGTTGAGCACAAGTACATCTGTGCTCATACATAAAAGCCTTTCAAAAGTGGGAGTTCTTGGGAGAATGTTCTTGAGCTATGGGTGAGTTCAAACTCCCCCTCCTTCCCCAGCCTGGCCACTTGTCAGCGTGTGGCTTTGGACAAGTCAAACAGTGAGCTTCAGTTTCTTTCTGTGTGAAATGGCAAAATAATAGGGTGCATTTCAGAGTGACTAATTGGGGCAATGTGTTCACACTTAGCACAGTGACTGTACACAATATAAATTCAATAATTGATACAATGAATATCTAGGAACACCTATTTTGTGCTCCGTGTTAGTATATTTGAACCCGGGGTTCAAGGGTGGATGGAGGGTGATGCTGACACTAACTGTGTTAGCTGTGAAGCGATTAGAGGAACTTCAGGGGGAGGGACTGCTGTGGTGGAGGGACGTGGCCGTGGCCCAGGGTCAGTGGGGACTGACCCTCTTTTCTGAGGCTGGGCATGGGCACGAAGCTACCTGTGTTGCCTGACGCTGCTTCCCTGTGTCCTGGCAGCCCCCTCGGCCGTGCACTGCAAGCCCATGGTGGTGGACAGCCAGCTGTACGTGGTGGTGGCCCAGCTGTTTGGTGGTTCTTACATTTACCACTGGGACCCCAACACCACGCGCTTCACCAAGCTGCAGGACATCGACCCGCAGCGTGTGCGCAAGCCCAACGACCTGGAGGCCTTTCGCATCGACGGTGACTGGTACTTTGCTGTGGCTGACAGCTCCAAGGCGGGTGCCACCAGCCTCTACCGCTGGCACCAGAATGGCTTCTACTCCCACCAGGCCCTGCATCCGTGGCACCGTGATACCGACCTGGAGTTTGTGGATGGCGAGGGCAAGCCCCGGTTGATCGTGTCCAGTAGCTCCCAGGCGCCTGTCATCTATCAGTGGAGTCGCACCCAGAAGCAGTTTGTGGCCCAGGGTGAGGTGACGCAGGTGCCTGATGCCCAGGCTGTGAAACACTTCCGTGCCGGGCGGGACAGCTACCTGTGCCTCAGCCGCTACATAGGGGACTCCAAGATCCTGCGCTGGGAGGGCACCCGCTTCTCGGAGGTGCAGGCCCTGCCCTCCCGCGGCTCCATGGCCCTGCAGCCCTTCCTTGTGGGTGGCCGCCGCTACCTGGCGCTGGGCAGCGACTTCTCCTTCACCCAGATTTACCAGTGGGATGAGGGGCGGCAGAAGTTTGTACGGTTCCAGGAGCTGGCTGTGCAGGCCCCTCGAGCCTTCTGCTACATGCTCGCTGGGGACGCCCAGCTGCTCCTGGCCCCCAGCTTCAAGGGACAGACGCTTGTGTACCGACACGTAGTGGTGGATCTTAGTGCCTAGCGGGGTGCCGAGGCCTCTGGATTGGAGGCTGAGGGGGAGCCTCTGTGTGAGCAGCGTGGGTGCCTGTCTGTGTGAAGGCACATGTAGCTAACCTCATGCACACACACTCCTGGTGAGCATGGGCACCATATGGACTGGCCCCGGGAGCCGATCATGATGGTAATTAGCATGAGGACTTGTGTATGCACCTGGCAAGCAAGTTACTGGGACCCTCCCATCTGTGGACGCCTGTGGATCCCACACCCCATCTGCAGGCCCCCCTGGATCTGCTGCCTTCCACAAGCTCTGGCCTGGGGAGGGGGAGGGGTGCTGGGAGGGAGGGTCTTGGGCTGATCCTTCTGACTCTCCGGTCTCTCCTGTTGGTGCTCCAGGGGTCTGTTCAACCTGCTCATGCCCCACATTGCAGCCACACGACATCCTTTCTACAGCGGGTACACTCACCCACCCTCCTCTCCTCCTGCATGCACATGTGGGATCTGGCCCACGCCCTCAGCCACACGCACACATACCTGTCCACACCCGTTGCCCTGTGCACACATGCAGATCCGGCCCTGCCAAAAGGAACCCGGCCCACTTCCCTTACCTGCCTGTCCTCCGTTACCACAGTCCTCCTCTGCTCACCCCTGGTGTGCCCACCCTGCGGCTGATAAGGATGGGAATGGTGGCAAAACCCCTTTGCCCAAAGCAATAACAACAACCCTAGCAAACCCAGACGTCTTCCCTCCCAGTGCTGGCTCTTTTCTCACTGGAGCATTCTTCTCTGACCCTGTCACCATGGCGGGCAGACTACCCAGACAAAGCCTTCCTGCTTTTCCTTCCTGTAGCCGCCCGCCTCAGACACCCACCCTGCCCCCAGGCTCAGCCCCTCCTTTGCGATGTGGACCCTGAGCTGTGCTGGATCCTTTGTCCGGGACCAGAGCTGGCCAGGCCAGGGACCCTGCAAGCACTCGAGTCATCTGGGCAGGTTCCAGGAGTAGAGCCGGGCTGGAGAGCATCTTGGGGGCTCTGGCACCCCTCCAGGCCACAGATGCACACCCCAGGGGCACTGCCTTTCAGGGCAAACTGGGTGGTAGAGGTTTGAGGGCCTGCCCTGTGGAGTGGCACCTGGGAACCAAGCTTCTGCTGCCCCCTGCTGTGCGCTGGGATAGAGCTGCGAGGTAGTATGCTGGGGATAGCGGGTAAGAGGCAGGAGCTGGTGGAGCAGGCACGGGGAGGGGCTTCTGGTGGCAGGATGCCGGGGCTGGGGGGGATTGGGGCAATGCTATAATTCACTTGCTTCAAATAAAAGGTTCCCACCCCATTGCCAGCTTTCAGGTGTCCAGTGGCAACGGTCAGCAGCAGCTGTTTCATCAAGAACATAGCATGTTGTCTGTCCCTGCTGCTTGCAGGGGCCGGCGTCAGCTTTCAGACCCTGTTCCTCCCTGCTCCCTTCCCTCTGAGGAGTGAGTGGGCACCCCAATCGTCTGCTGGTGCTGGGGTCAGGAGCTCATGGTGATGACACCCGGGGCTGGGTGAGTGTGACTAGTCTCCACCACCTGGGGCTGACTCATGGCCCGAGTGCTCCTTCCTGGAGATCACAGTCTTGGGGTCACAGGAGTTTATCCCTCTGTCAGGTGAATTCCAATCAACACGACCAAAAACAAGCTCAGCGGTCCCTCCCCTCCCCACTTCCTCTGGCCAAATGTCTGTCATCCCTGCCACCCTCTGCCCTGGGTGTGCGGTTTCAAGCAAGTGGGCTGGTTTCCTGAAGTCTAAGCTTCTGCAACACAGAAAATAAGCCTGACTTTGTCCAATCCTGACTCGGCCACTTACCAGCTGGGTGACCGCAACCACGTCACTTGGCCTATTTGTATTTGTCTCCTTATCTGTAAAAGGGGGATAGTCATAATACCTACCTGACAGCGTTGGTGTGAAATGTAAATGCTTTCAATATATAGTCTATTGATATATGCAAGGCCCTTCGAAGAGTGTGTCTGCCACAGAAGTATACTCTTATTGGCCTGTAGGACTGTATGAGACCCAGGTGGCTCAGAGAGGCTGCTTTGTGGGAGGAGAAGCATGCCTTTTGGAGAGAACTGATATCCTTGGTCTCAAGGCCCCTGTGCCCTACATCTTACCTGTAGCCCCAGAGGCCCAGCCAACCCTGCCCCTGACCACTCTTCACAACGGGGAATCTCATAGGTGATGTGTGTGTGGGTTTCCACCTCCTCAAATCACATTCATGTGCTTCTGGCTTAGGAGGCACCCCTCAAGTCCCCCAGCCACACAGTCCAGGGAACGCTTGTGCTGAATTTTCACGTGGGGAACGGGCCCTCGTGTTGTGCAAGGACAGGTTGCCAGGCAGAGTGCACTGGTCTCCCAGACCCGTTGGCACTCTGTTGCCCAGTAGAAAGATAAACATCACTCTGGCGGTCATTCCCCCCGAGCCCCTAGGGCTCCTCCCAAAGATGGAGATACTGTTCTCCCTGAGAGCCCTGCTCTCTACACCTGCCCTGGGGGTCATTTGTGTGTCCAGAGAGCTGCTTAGCAACCCAGTGTAACCGGCTGATTGTGTCAACAGCTCAGGACCAAAGGCCGTGGGAGGCAGAGTATACTTATTCTGCCAAAGCTGAGGAGAGTGACACCCCCCAGCTGCCAGCCTCATGCCGCTCCACACAGAGCCCTGCTCTCAGCAGCAGACTTCTCACATCTTGTCCCTTAGACCCCCCAAGCACAGTCATCAGGACCAGGAGTCTCCCTGGGAGAGACCGTCCTGAAGCATCTATCTTATATAAAAACTGCTGTTTGAAATTTTAACCCTGACAGTATGGCTTCTGTAAATGCTTGCTTGCTTAAAAAATAAGGAAAATAAGACTACTCCCATTCCAGAGAGGCCGTAAACTATGCCCCAGACAGAGTTGTCAGTGCTGACACCAGGCCAGGCCTTGAGATATGGTCTCATGGCCCCTTCCCAGCACGCAGGCCTTCTTTCTCAGAAGGCCCGGAAGTCTCATTCCAAATTTGGGAGACAAAGGACTAGAAAAAGTATAAATAGAGTTTCCTCCATGTTAGGGGGCCCAGAATTTGAAAGACACATTTTTCTCTGGGCCTGCACAGAATCTAATCTAATAAAAGACAAAAGCGTAATTAACCGTACCTCCGCTACGCTTCCCATTGGCTAATCAGGGCGATATGCAAATTAACTGCCAACCAAGATGGCGGCCGGCAGCCATGCAGCTGAAGCGAGCAGGAGGAAGCCAAGTGATGGAGGAAGCCAAGGTTCCCCGCCTGCCGCGGCCTGCTCTAATCTCCGAAAGCAACAAAGTTTCAATTATAGAAGGTAAATAAATCCCAGAATAAAAAAGAAAAAGAAAAAAAAGGAGATGCTGGGAGTTTCAGTCGTCAGTCAGCCTGAAAACGGCCCTCAGCCCCTCACCCAGACTGGCCAGGCACCCCAGTGGGGACCCTCACCCTGAAGGGGGTGTGGCCAGCCTGAAAACAGCCATCAGCCCCTCACCCAGGCTGGCCAAGCACCCCAAGCGGGACCCCCACCCTGATCTGGGACACCCTTCAGGGCAAACCAGCTGGCCCCCACCCGTGCACCAGGCCTCTATCCTATATAGTAAAAGGGTAATATGCAAACTGACCCTAACAGCAAAAAGACTGGGAATGACTGGTCACTATGACACACACCGACCACCAGGGGGCAGACGCTCAATGCAGGAGCTGCCCTCTGGTGGTCCGTGCGCTCCCACATGGGGGAGCTCTGCTCAGCCACAAGCCAGGCTGATGGCTGCCAGTACAGCAGTGGTGGTGGGAGCCTCTCCTGCCTCTTCAGCAATACTAAGGATGTCCGACTGCAGCTTAGGTCTGCTCCCCGCTGGCAAGTGGACATCCCCCGAGGGCTCCCAGGCTGCCAGAGGGATGTCTGATTGCCAGCTTAGGCCCAATCCCCCATGGAGCGGGCCTAAGCCAGCAGGTGGTCATCCCCCGAGGGGTCCCAGACTGCAAGAGGGCACAGGCTGGGCTGAGGGACACCCCCCCACCCCCCACCCCCGTGCACAAATTTTTGTGCACCAGGCCTCTAGTTTAATAATAAAATGTAACTCCCTCTCTCTAAGCGTGGCTTGGTTTTTCTCCAGTCTTCTGCAACAGTCCCAGCTGGCGGGGCTTAGAGTGGGCACAGGGGAGCTCTTCCCCAGTGAATGGAGTTAGAGAAGCCTGCGGCACTGAGGTCACATGCGTGACTCCGGAAGACAGCTGGTGGGAGAAGGTTGCTATTCCCCAGGTACCAGAGAACCTGAGAGTCACATGGGCACAGTCAGCCAGGCACCCTTACCTCCCAAAGCATGGACACCTCTTCCCTCTTTTGCAGCCCCACCCCTACCCCACTCCTCCTGAGCCGGCCCCCTATTGAGTCAGTCACATCTTTCTTCTCCAAGGACTCTGCCTAGAGATGAATGGGAAGATACTAGCCCTTGGCATTTCTTATTCCTCCAGTGCAGGGTGGGAGCTAGGCCCAGGGTGAGGGGGTGGTTAGGCCTGGGGAGGCAGCAGGGCCTCAGGGGAGCTCCTCCTGTGGGCCAATTTCACTGTGAGCTCTCACTCCCAGCAACACCAATAAAAATGATGATAATAATTAAGTATAATCACAATATGTTTTTATTGATTTATTCCCAAGTAGCCTACTTTCCCTGGCCCCCATCATTACCTATTTCATCCTTTCGAGGGGGTGGTGGGCGTTAAATGTGGCTCTAATAAAAAGTAATAGCTGCCCATTGCCCGCCCCCGCAGCGCAGCCCCGAGGCAGAGGGGACCGCAGTGTGGGAGGCAAAGGGGACCGCAGTTGGGAGGGTGCTGTGCGGAGGGGGAGGAGGCACTAGGCAGGAGAGGCACAGCGAGTGTAACCCCATGTGGAAAGTCGTAGAAGCAGCGGAGTTTGCCTTCTCTTTTGAGCCTTTCACCTTCTTCCGAGGTCTACACCTCCTCCCAGAGCAGCGTGGGGTCTTCATTCCCTGCCCCCTCCCACCGCCTCTGCACGAGACTGACCAAGCCAAGCATTTATCCACCTGCCGTCAGAGGATGGCTGCTGTTGTTTTTAAAAAGGATCTTTGTAAACATCAAGACCCTACACACAAAAATGCACTACAAAATGGCAATCGGTGATATTGTTAAGCTCTCGGGGATCTTCGTATTCTGGGCTCAGAGGAATAGGTGGAATTTCGAACTTCTGGTGAAGGCACGGGGGCTGGGGACTCCGCCCGGAATCCGTGGCGGCCAGCCTGCCCAGCGCTGGGCTCCCCCAGCCCGCCCTTCCCGGGGAGTCGGTGGGGGTGACGATTCCCTGGGGTCCCCTCTGCCGTTTCCTCCCCACTTTCCCTCTAGTCCCTGAGCTCTTGTCCCAGGGAAGTAAGGCCTCCTTCCAGCTGGTGCCTGCACCCACCTTGAGCCCGTTCGCGTTTTAGGGAGGGAAGACGAGGCCAAAGGGGAGCCAGTGATGAGCCCCGAAACTCTGGAGGCCAAACCTCTTTCGCTCCCCCCACCCGTGCCCCCCCCCCCCCCCCCCCCGCACCTGCTCCACCATTTTGTCCTCGCTTCCCATCCCCTCATCCTCCCGATCAGGGCAGCCGCTCAACCAAGGGCCCCACCCGCAAGCCGGAGGGTCACCGCCCTTTAAAGCGCAGGCCGCGCCCCCTGACCTCGCCCCGCCCCTCGGGCCGCTCCGCGCTTGCGCCGTGCGCGGCGGCCCGGGGTTGGGCAGATCCCGGTTCCGTGCAACTTTCAAGTGAGTTGCAAACTCCGCCCCGAGCTGGTGCGGGCGCCTGCGGCCCAGGGACCCGGAGGCTCGCGCGAGCGAGGCCGCCCACACCCGCCGAGGGCCGCGACCCGCCGGGGCCGAGCTCCCAGTTCTCCGCGGCTGGACGTGCGGGTCGGCGCCGTAACTGCCGGACCGCGGGCGTTGCGCAGGAGCGCGCCCTCCGGCTCCGAGTGGCTCCTCGGGGCCCGGCCTCCCGCCCCGCCGGCCGGTCCGCCTCTGCCGGGGCAGTCCGAGAGCCCTCCGGTTCCGCACCTCCCGGACCCGCGTGAGCGTCCCGCCGGGCGCCTTCCTGTGGGGCTCCCTTGGCGCCGGAGGCTGCAGGATGGTGTCCTGGATGATCTGCCGCCTGGTGGTGTGAGTATGGCCGTTCTCCCCGGGGGCCAGCCCGCCCGGGGGGGCACCTGGGAATGTTGGGGGGGAAAGGGGTCTTTCTGAGCGCGGTCACGCCAACCCCCGGCACTCACCGCAATGGTTAACGGATCTGCGGGCCTGCACGCGGCCTCGGGCTCCGCGGGCTTGTCGCCCCGGCCCCCAAAGCCTCCTGGGGTGATGGCGACCCCTCCTGCACTCACACACTGCAGGCTGGTGTCCAGGTGGAAGACCACAGGCGGGCCCTAAGCCCCTTGGCAACAACAGGTGTTGTGGGAGGAGAATCCAGGTGCCTGCCTCCCATCTGAGCAGTCACATGACTCACCCCCCCCCCCCCCCCACTTCCCTACTCTGTCCTACTCGTCACCTTTCAATACTTCAGTACCTGGCTTGAATATCCCTGTCTGCAGCTTGGCAGTGTCAGGTCGGGTGGCCCTGGGCCTGATTGCATGTCCAAGGGAGGGGAGGTGCTCTCAGAAGCCTGCCTCCATCCCACCCACCTTGTTCAGTGGCTGTATGTACCCATGCACCCAT